GCAGGTCAGTCACCACTGGACCGGCCACTGAACGCATGTTGGTCCATGTTTGTAGCCTGAATGCTTTTCATCAAACCCTGGAAGAAAAATGACATTTTAGCATTTCTTCCTTAGAAAGTACCCCAAATAATGATAATGATGATGATCGAAAAGCCTCATTTGCTAGTATGTTCTCCTCTGAGGGATTGTGGGTATACAAACACTCATTTAAACCCGGACGCTTGTGCTCAGTTTAACAGGAAACACCGCTGACGTGTTTCCACAGAGCTGCTTTTGGCCGTGGGATTAATGTGCATTTACTGTGGTTCTGGAAAATGAAGTCGCGTGCCATCTGCTTGAGTCACAGAAAATCCACGAGCTCCCTGTGAAATGTCCCCCACAGACCTGTCCAACAGGCGGAGAGGAAAGACGTCCAGGCCAGTAGAAGGTGTCTGATCCTTTCTGGATCACCATCAATCCCTCTGTGACACCGGACCGCAGACCAGGCGCCGGACAAACTACTTCTTAGTACATTAGTCCAGTAGTTCTGATACAGCGGCGTCTGGACCACTTACATGATTGTTAAAGACTCTTTGAGCAAAGGACCTACATGAGGGATAAAGAAAACATGAACCAGGACAAAGCACAGTGTATAAATCAATAAACATAGAAGTTGTCAATGTTTACACATTGTGAGTGATTCTTTCTCATATTGTGGTTCATGTGAAAATGATCAGGACTAATACTAGAACTACCTTAGATGTTGTTCTTCGCCATGTCCTTAAATATTATAGTGTCTTGTGCTGAATTTGTATCTTTTTTTGAAAGCTAGACGGCAAAACAAAACATCTGTATGGAGGAACTACTCTGTTTTTGGAGCATGCAGTTAAAGCAAAAGTTTTGTGCGTTCATTTGTAGGACTGTTGCATTCTTTATAATTAATCTTGACTCTCGCGGTTGGATTACAAGTGGGGCATTAGCTCAGCTTCCACGTCCTGGACCTCCCCCGTCCATCGTCTCCCTCCCTGGAGAAACTCGGACGAGCTTCAGACTCTCTAGTCTCTGTTCTGACTCTCGGTAGCATCATCTAAACGCCCCGCTGGTTCCATGAAGTGCAGCACCCATGAATTTCTCTTGAAATATTGAGGAGTCTCCGTGTGTGATGTTCTCTAATGTGACATTTAAGACGGCGACAGTAAATCACCATGAAAACAAGTGCTCATGTAACATGAGACGTAAGCTAAAAATAGTCCATGCTCAGTTAAGCGTTTTATTCTTTTTTTTTTTAAATGCTCTCTTTAAAATGTGATTTGTTATTGCACTTGAAGTGCTTCCTTGTTCTTCATCGCATGCATGCATATTATATTAAATCATCCCCGTCACGTGCTGGACGACGCTGACGAGCATGCTGAAGCCGATGACCCAAGCGAGAGCGTCGGCTCGGCTCCGGGCCCCCGTGGGCCCCCACGTCTCCGCGGCAGAACCTACCAGTGAAATTGGATGTTCTCTTATTCATGTTTCTTCTTTTTGTTTTGCTCTGAAAAGGGGCCTTTGTTCGCCCACTAAATAATGCACTGTTATCCTCTGACCTTTTCAGCGGCCGAACATATTGGCCACTCTTGACTCATCTGTAATGGCTCAGTAGGCAGCTGCAGCACAGCAGTGACGGCGTGTGCTGAGAATGTCTCCTCAGTGAGCTTTCCACTGCACTCAGGAGGAGGGTCAGAGAAGCCTTTATTTACTGCGCGCAATACATTCGCAAGCATTTATCCCAGTGACGAACGTTAAAGGGCAAGTCCTGCTGCTTCTGACTGTTGTACTGCTGGTGAATGATTCCTACAGGCGATTAATCCCTAAAGTCTGGGAGCAAGGCGACTTCGCCATCGGTGGTAGTAACGGCACAATAGCAGTCACAGTATTGTGGTTGCGATTTCTGTTGCAAGTAAAATTGTGTATTTCTGTTAAGCTTAATTAAATGTCTGCAGTCAAATAAATTGGATGTGCAAATGAGCCAAATGAGCAAAGGAAGAAGAAGGAGAAGCCAGTGTTTGTTAGACGAGGAGGCTAATGTCGTCTATTCGGCTCTCTGCGCTGCTTCAATGCCTCCGTTGGTAATAGGAGGAGGAGAAAATGTAGAATAAAATAAATACAATAATAAGATGCTTCTGGGTAAGGAGGAGTGCTGGGGAGCAGTTCAGAGGAGGAACCACTGGATCTGCCCAGTCCTGGTTAGTAGAAGGGAGAAAACCAACACATCTAAAAACACGCGTGAAGAAAAAGCGCCGTAAACATGTGGCTCCTATTGGAAGTTCCGTTCAGCATGAAGGGAAATCTATAACAACTCCCCATTCAGCCTCTCACACTCCTCCAGCAGCCTGTTTGCCTGCACATGGCGACGGCCAATAAATAGTACATTTTGTATCTTCGCACATTGGGAGGCTTGAGAGCCCCAGTAATGGCGTTTCCATTGGCGACAGCCGTCGGGTCTTGGTACTGATCCACATGTTGTCTATAAAGGTCCTGATGGGGCGCTCTCGGTCTATTTGTGTCTTATAATAATCACATATCCTTTGCTAAACCTAAATTTCTCTTTCTTTTTGGGACGATATTTTCTTTATGGGCCCTGCGCTTCGTACATCAGGAGGGGGCCTCCCGGGGGGGCCCCTTGGCAGGCCCGGGGGGGGGGGGGGGGGGGGTAGTCAAAAGACCAATGATTGAAGATGAAGATTTGATTTGATTCTTATTGTCTTTCTTTTCGGCTTTCTTAGCACTCACCTTTATGAGAGTGGCCATTACTTAAATGTAACCCGGCCCTATTTTCTTTTCTTAATAAACCTTATTAGGAAGCTCTCAGTACTCTGTGTGCTCAGAGGTTTTTTGTCTGTACGGGGCTCATGATGCAGCCTAGATTTCCTTACTCCGGTGCATTTATTTGATACATCATAAAACTTTAATACTGGCATTGTATTTTCATGGTGTTTAAATGTTGCATCAGTTGGTTAAGTGGCGTATGTGAATTGAAATGAAAGTTGTACTTTCAAATGCTCATGTCGCTATGCTATAAGCTTTAGATATAGTTTCTATAATTAGCGCTGACGTAGAATTTAACGAAGGATTTCTGAACACCCCAAATAACAATGAGCATCTCATGGGAATAAAGCTGCCATGTGCACTTTGGGCTGAGCTGCTCTGTTAGGAACATTTTCTTTTCCCGTATTGTTGCAATCTGCAGACGCCAATCACAGTTCACCATCTTCTACGGATCCGAAACAGCTTCTAGCAGCCGACCACACAGTGTGATGTCATCTGAGTGGGACTTTAGCTCAGAATTATTTGCTCCCAGTCTTTCCTTTGTCTTCGCTGTGTCTCCTTTATCTCCTTCATCATCCAGCTCATACTACTATTCATCCGACCTCGTCATTCCAAACCTGAAAAAAGGGCTGTTGGTCTTTTGAATCTTGGGTGTGTTTCAAAATAAAATATTTTTCATCACAACACTCCTGGGTGTAATCAAACGGCTGAACGCGGTGTGTCTGCCGCCACTTGCAGCCATAATTCTCGTCTCTTTGCGGACGGAGAGCAGGCGAGCCTCGTTATGCAGGATAATCCCCCACTCACAGGCTGTGGCTCTTTTGGGGGATTTCACCGATGAGCTAATCAAACAGCATTGGTTACTCAGCTCACACAGCTGTTTGTGTTGTATCCATGTTTTTACTTAAAGCCCGAACCAAAGGATCAGATACCTCTGTTTAACTCTGAGAGCCGCGCTACTTCTGTTGATGTTGACTCCCAATCGGTTTAATATCGGAGATGCTTTCTTTTTTCTTACTTGGGTCAATTTGGTGATAAACTCTACAGACAGAATTAGCTTTACACATGCATGTTCCACATGGGATCGCCTCACAGTTCACCACGACTCAGCCGAGGCCTGAGCGTTCCTTAAGCGCCACACCAGGTCGCTGACAGACGGCGAGCATCATCCCAAAGCGTCCACCTTGTCCACTTTGATGGAAGAAGAAGCCAAACCGATCAGAGCATCGGAAAGCAACACTGGGAACCAAATCCTGGTCAGAAACGTCACCACTTGTTTGGACATCGGTGTAAACGCGCCTGGCAAAGGGATGTAACTGTGAGCCGCTCGTTCTGGTTTGATTTTAGCATAGTTTATATCAGATTGCATTACTCCTTTTCCTTCTTTCTGTCACCACAGATCTGCTTCTTCGTCTCGCTGCATCGCACGTCAAACAGGAAAAGAAAATGTGACGGTGCACAACGAGATTTCCCTTTTTCTTTTTCGCTGACATGGCGCTTTAGGATCCCCTCTGTTGCCTTCAGCACTTCCTCACCCAGCCGCTGTCTTGTGCCATTTGTTTCAGTTAGCGCGCAATGTGTGCAGTTGTCAAAAACAATTGGCGTTGGTGGTCTGAGACGCGCACGCCGGAGCACGCCGGAGCACGCCGGGCAGTAAATTGTGTTTTTCCACCGAGTCATCAGGCCGTTATGATGGTGCTTGAAGTGAACAATGCGTCCTCGTCTTCACAGACGGACTGAATTGGAATCATCATTAATCGGCACATGGACGGGTTATAATTGAGTTATAGAGCACTTATGGAGCCATTTATCAACGCCGCGGACAACTCAACTGTCCGAACTGAGTGGCTGGTCTGTGTTTGGAGCGGATTGCGTGAGGGGAATTTTATTTGTGTTCCACATCGCTTATCAAATAACTTATTAAGTTACTTTCTACGCAGTCGCTGCAAGCGTCTCTCAAATCTCCAGGCAATCACGGGTAGCTCCGCCGCTCTCAATGGGAGCAGAATACATAGCAGCCGGACAAAAGCAAGTGGGGACGTTTAGCAGCTAGAAACAAATCATTTCAAACAACGCAGCTCAGCTTCCTACAAATCATTTAAGATACCAAACCAAAGAATAGTTGTTGTTTGGATCAGTTCCCCCGGGGATGAAAGCGCTTCCTCTGCCATAACCGTGTCTTCCTTTTGTCTCCTTGTGTCTCCTCTCAGATGACCCAAGAACAGTGCACTCATAGGAACAATGTCCAGAGTTCAGAGAAACCACAAGTGTACAAAGTGGGGATATACGGCTGGAGGAAGCGCTGCCTTTACTTCTTCGTCCTGCTGCTGATGATCCTGATCCTGATCAACTTGGCGCTAACTATCTGGATCCTCAAGGTCATGAACTTCACCATCGTAAGTCACCCGTTTACGGTGGATTGGGTCTCGTATGTGTGTGTGTCAACGCTGATGTCTCTGTGTCCCTCCGCGGCAGCAAACGGCGTATTTTAGGTGGCTATATTTTTTGCCGGCGGAGCTCCCGAGGTCGAGGAGAGTCGCTCTTTATCAAAACACAGCTGATTTTTTTACCGCCATCGACTCCTCACACTATTCTTCACTCCAAAAAACAGGTGCTCAGGATATCTATAGGAGAGGTCATTTTGCCAGACGTGTGTGTGTGTGTGTGTGTGTGTGTGTGTGTGTGTGTGTGTGTGTGTGTGTGTGTGTGTGTGTGTGTGTGTGTGTGTGTGTGTAGGCCTATGTGTCATCTAATCTGCCGGAGTACTGGACTGTTGTTTGTGCTCATTAATAGATGAAGCACTTCTTGTGGTTGCGCTCGTAGCTTCATACCGTCCCTAGCTGAGGATTGTGTTCTGATAGTCACATGTTCAAAACCGTCACACCCAGTGGCCGACCCAAAAGTGTCACTCGCCGTTCTAAATCCACGTGCGCGGCGCCCTCTTCGCATTCGCACGTCTTTCTATTTTGAAACTGTCCCGTTCCGTGTTGGAAACGACCAAACGGCTCTTTGTTCTTCGTCGGGTCCCAGAAGTTTATGGTTTCACAAAGTCCGTTTAATCAGTCAATTAATGGGGAATAAAAAAGCAACATAAGTACCACGGGTCATTGGCTCGTGTGAACAATAATGCAGATTTTGGTGATGATTAAATTCGCCCCCCCCCACCTCCCTCACCAGAACGCGGTGAGAGGATCTCTGTCCGCCTCCCCGTCAGATCTACTTTGTGTCAGCCTCCCTCTCCGCCTCACCCGGTCCTGGTCTCTCTCTCCCTGTTTAGTAATCCTCTGTGCCTGTGATGAGTCAGAGTACGCCAGACGCACACAAACACACACACACACACACGCACACACGTGGCCGCTGCTGTGAATAATGCATGAGGTCTGCTGCACAGTGGGGCTTTAATATGAGATCTGCATAAATCACAGAGCGGTTTCTCAGATTACGAGCGTCGTAACAGAGCGCTGCGCCGTGTCATAATGTTTTTAATGCGCCCGCCTCCCGATCACCAGATTAGAACAACATTTTGACACGAGGTGGATCCGTCCGAAGGGGGGAGCCTGTCGATCCATCCGCCCCCAGGTGACCGGGGTTGTTGTGATTGACAGGACACGTCTTCAAGCTGTTTTTTTTTTTTTTTTGGTCCTCTTTCCATTCAGTTTCAAATCAGATGTTGCTGCTGTTTCTCAGGTTCTGACTTCATTGGATACAAACTGGACTCAAGAAGAGAAAAAAACACTGAATAAAGAACCTCTGCCCTTCTTCTCCCGTCTCGTCTTGTGCCTGTTGTGTATTCGCAGTAAACCAGTAGAAATACGCACAGTAATATCAGAGGTCCAACCTGTCCACTCAGTCGGTGCAAATAAGCAGTTGAGCGCGGTGTGACTCATGGAGGGCGGATCAGCTGACAATATTCCTAATGAGCCCATAGAAAGCCGCGAGCGTACACGGAGCCAGCGACCTTCAGTCCCAAGGAGCTGCAGAGTCGGAGACGGGGGGGACGTTGGCGGTACAAAGGATGAAATATCTGTGTGTGCTTAATAAATATGGACAAGCGGCAGACATCGGGGGGGGGATGCGGTGTTGGTGTTTGTGGGACAATGTGAGTCCTCTTGCATGAATTGTACGATGCAGGAGTGCATGTGATGTGTGTTACGACATATCTGCATGTTCTCGGGTCTCAGTAGTTTTTTTTTAAATAAGAGCACAGCTCATCATAACTTTTATTCACTTTTATTGGACCCATATCTTTTATTTTTTTGAGATCACCCTCCCCAAACAATCCATCTAGTAAAACAAACGTGTAGTTTTTATTCGATCCTCTTTACTTAGTGAAACGTAATCCATTTTGCTGAAATAAGCTTAAACATTCGGATCCGTGCAGCTGCAGATCGACACAAGAGGAAACACGCGTGTTCACACACTGCGTAGCGTTTTGTCGATGCGCGGCCGTGCTCTCCACTTGACGTGTGTCAAGTCCAACTCCAGAGCTCCGCGGTCGACAAAAGGCTCTTTAGAAGCCCGCGTTAGCATGGGTCAACAGCCCAGTGGTGGATGGAGCGGTGAGTCTGTGCAGCACACACCACCGGTACAACCACAGGCACCTCTGGACAGATGCTGACAGCTAAATGTGGAGGCTTTCTCTGTTCCGACTGTGCCGAACACACCCGTAGAAGCATGTAGATGTTTAACACAGTAGTTTGTATGTTTAAGTTGCTCTCAGTAGGTCATTTTAATTTCCCTTTGCTCTATTGAAACACCATTTGGAATGAATCATCACAGTGGATTTATTTCGTTGAAAAGTGGCATCTGACTTTTCTTGAAGCTTTCACCCTTGCACACTATCTAAAGACGTAGCAAAATGCTAAAGAAACTTTCAGGGCTGAAGCAATAGTGAGCTGGAGAGCTCGCAGTTGGCCTTTCAGAGTCAGGGTCAGAAACAGGGAGAGCTCAAAGCTGAAACATGACTGTTTAGTCATAAAAAGTTAATGGAACTCCCATAAATTAAAAATGATCGTTTGAAATGCTCCCAATCGGTGTTTAATTAGGAGCAGCCGCTCTCATTTCTCCCTCCCACATTTCTTTATTCAGCTGTCAAACATAGCAGTGTCCCCCAGTGGACCACAGGCGGACTTCCAGCGTGGTTTTAATGACCTTTTCTTTGTAAATGCGACCTCAAGGCAATCCATTAATCAGGCCTTCACCCAAATACAACACTGTGGATATTAGGGGGAAAGATTCTTTATGAGGAAGTGAACGTATGGGAGCGCCCGTGCGTTACGATGGTCGTCATCTTTCAGCCTTGACTTCCAAAGAAACGGTCGCCCCCCCCCCATCATGTTTATTAGGCTGGTTGCGACGATTGAGACGGGCTGAAGTGGCTGCAGCTCATGTGCACGGCGGCCCTGACTGGTAGTCAGTGGTAATGAGAGAAAAAGTGGGGCAGGTGATGTATCGACTGCTGTCCCTGCCGGTCCTTCCCCTCCAGTGAACCGGGCCTTTTCTCCGGGCCTGCAGAGAACACGGAGCTCTTTGAGTGTCTGCTCTTCTCTCCATCAAAACATAAAGACCCGAGGCTAGTTCCCCCAATCTGATCAATTTAAAATACAGTCACAAAGCCAATCAAAGTAATGTGGAAAATACCTCAATATGAGGTTATATAACATTAGACGTTTGCATGAGAATCAGACGGCAAAAATAGCAGAATTGGCCGTGGAACAGAAACATTTTCTTCTCCATAAATCCTTCAACAAAACCTAAATCTTTCATGATCGAGAACCGAAATGCAGGCGTCAGAACCAAAGATTTAAGTGCATGCATTTAAAGTCACAGGTGGCTCAATTAACTTCTGGGTGAAAAAAAAAGAATGGACGCACTGAACAAACAGCCGATTGACTCCTGGAGGACCAGACGAGGCGGGTCGATCTATAATCATCAAACGCTGCCGCTGAGACCGCTGCGGCTTCCGCCCCAAGCAACGCCACGTCGAGTTGTTGTTTGTTCTCCTCCTGCAGCGTCTCTGGCGGGAGACGGGGAGGAAAAGGGGGACTCAGAAGATGGATGCTTGGGGTGTCAACAAATATGGACAATGCTGGACTGAAACATATTTGCGTATGAATGGAAAGCGGACAATTTTCTCTCGCCATTAGAATAGATCCAAATAAAATGTTGATCGTTGACTGGTGGCTTCTCCTGAGCAGCAGGTAGTGAGGCGGCCATGATTAGCTATTGTAGCCTGCTAGCCTGCTACCTAACTAGCCAGGGGTGCGCTAAGAGCAAACGTTAAGCTCTGATTCCACAATGCTCACCCAATCCGGACCATCAATCAAATCCAGGCCAGAAATCCACGCAATCTATTGTTGTGTCGGTTGGGCAAAGGACGAGCTACAGAGACCTTTGTTCCCTCTGCAGATAAACGCACGTGGAGACCCTCAGTAGATAAACATCTCTGGCACAGCTCCGGACCGCTGGTGATGGTGGAAGCAGAAAGAGCAGTAATTGTCCCTCTGATTGCAGCCCGTCTTCCTCTGAGACGTTGATAAGCTTTTTCACGGGTCTCACTCAGGGAAAAGAGGGGCGGGAAGTCAAACAAAGAAGACGAAGAAGGAGTAGGAGGAGCAGAGGCAGTGGATGATAACTGCTTTTTAAAGAAACTATTTCTTACTTGTTGCCAGACTTTCATTTTAATCGGATCTTACTGACTTAAGATATTCATGATACTCATCATGATTCATTATAAATTAGTTTTTTGGGGCGCTAAACCTTCCTTTTGGCGGTTTTCGGTATGGTTCTTTTACAGTCCTTTGCCATAGTTAATTTATGTTTCTAACTTTCTACTTAATTAAATTCTGACCTTGTTTAAGTGTTCATACCAGTCAAAAGTTTGAACACACCTTCGTACTTGTCTACACTTTGAGATCGATTAGCAACCAGCAAATTTGAAAGACTTGACTTGGGCAGCTCTTCATCATCTTCATCTAAAGTGTTACAAATAAATAGGATTTAGCTCCTCTTGGAGTTTTTATATGATTGTAAATTGAATGTAATCTATTACACATACTAACATACAATATTCAAAATGCAATTCAAAAGATGTTAATAGCTAAACGTCCTCTTGGGAAGGATGGCCAAAACAACAACGAAAGGTTTTAAGGTTACTTGAGTGGAACTTTTTCTATCAGAAAAAAAATTGTCCAGTCAACCAAAAAAAAATCCAACAATTTGTATCATTCAGGTCCAGGCTCTTTCCCCGGTGAATTAGTGTAAAGCTGCATCACAAAAGCCCATTCTTGCCTCTTGCAAAGAACGCAGCATCGGCTGCTGGCGGCACTAAATCGCAGGCCGGCGATGAGATTGGAGTTACCGGTTCTCGTTGGGGACAATTACACCTCGGTACCTC